TTTTTCTTTTGACATAGAATACCCTTCTCTCAAAGTCACCAATGCAGTGGGACAATAGCTCAAATGCTGGTTTTTCTGAAGCTAGTCACATCTGGTTACCCACCAGTTCAGATTACCACACAGTGAATGTTGAAGTAAGTATCAATGAACATTTTCTGTTGATTCTAGAAGAAATGGGTTTCTGTACTGACAACATACACTCACCTTGAGCATGTCTAACACCCTAACTGATATTTAAATCAATCACAGACTTCCCTTGTAGTTTTTAATTTGTAAGGAGTTTGTCAATCATGTTTTGTGAAAATACAAACTGGTACACAAGTTTACCATGTGAAGTATCATACAGAATGTACAATTCTTCATTGGAATGGCCCTAAGGCCTTTGAGCTATGAAGGAAATTTTAGGGAAAATTTTCAGCAAGCTGAGCCTACCCTTCCTCCTTTCTTTCCTTCAAAAGGCAGGGAGGGAGAAAGGTGGGAGGGTGGGTAGGCAGGAAGGAGATCAATCAATCTAGGGTAATGTGGACTGGAGAGCAAGGCTGTTCACCTGAAGAGACAGAAGACATGAAAATCCCTAGAGGAGCTGTTCTAGAAAAGCAAACCCTTTGGCTTTTGCCTATATTTTTTTCTCTTCTCATAGTGATCAAAAATTAATGTCATACAGTAGTGAGAATTTTATTGGAAAACAATCTAATTTAGGGGAAGAGAAATTACTGGCATCATGTGGGGATACTTAAGAAATTTATAGGCCAGGTACAGTGGCTCATGCCTCTAATCCTAGCACTATTGGAGGCTGAGGCAGGAGGATCGCTTGAGGTCAGGAGTTCAAGACCAGCCTGAGCAAGAGTGGGACCCCATCACAACAAAAAACAGAATAAATTAGCTGGGTGTGGTGGCACACGCCTGTAATCCTAAGCTACCTGGGAGGCTGAGGCAGGAGGATCACTTGAGCACAGGAGTTTGAGGTTGCAGTGAGTTATGATGACTCCCACTGCATTCTGTCCAGGGTGACAGAATGAGATTCTGTTTCCAAAAAAAAAAAATTATAGCACCCTCTCATTCCAATCTACTAAGTAATCTGAAAAAATGCCCCACGTTATTCAGATATGGAACTCCACACACAGTCTCCTGTCCCCACAACTCCTCACTCCAGGCATCACTGAGGATTCCTGGATAGTATAAGCTTTATTTTACATAGTTGTAGGTCTTGAAAGCACAAAATATATATTTAACAATTGTTTTGGATTGAATGCCTCTATTGATTTTCATTGTTTCCAAAATATTCCCGTAGGCCAATCTGAGTTCAGTATGTAAGAAATCCTACATAAAAATGCACACAAAGAAAAAAAAAGTAAATGCAAATTAAAATAATGAAATTGTTTTCTACCAGATTAGCAAATTCTTTAAAAATGATCATGAGTGATGCCTTAGAGGGCTACTAAAGCATGATCATTAAGTCCCAGGCAATGCCATTGTAATAAAATACATCCAAATAGCCCTAGAAAGAAACAATGCTACTAACAGATGAAAATTTAAGTAATTTCTAAAAGACAAAGTAAAATTAGCATTATAGAGAAATAAGAGCATAGAAACTAGAGTTTAAAACACAGGAGAAAATAGCTTCAACAGGAACAGGTAACAGCACTGTAGGAATTTTCTGAACTGCTGCAATTGGCTGCAGCAGTATTTCCCTAGGGAAAAAAATCCAAGGCATGTTTGGTGATCATATGAATGTTGGAATAAGCAGACCAAAGCTTGAAATAGCTTGTAGAAGCTTCAAACTTCTACAGGTGCAGCAGAAGAAAGAAAAGGAAAAGAAGACCTGATTCTAGTGTTGTCTTCTGGCTAACTCACTGTGGAATGTACTCAGAAATGAGAGCTTTTACTACTTAGCTCACAGAGGCCAGGAGAAGAGGGCGGGACTCTAGCAAGCTTATGACTGTAAGAAGGAAAAGAACTCTCAGCCCTTGGCCGGGCGCGGTGGCTCACGCCTGTAATCCTAGCTCTCTGGGAGGCCGAGGTGGGCGGATTGCTCGAGGTCAGGAGTTCAAAACCAGCCTGAGCAAGAGCAAGACCCCGTCTCTACTATAAATAGAAAGAAATTTGGCCAACTATATATATATAAATTAGCCGGCATGTGGCATGCCTGTAGTCCCAGCTACTCGGGAGGCTGAGGCAGTAGGATCGCTTGAGCCCAGGAGTTTGAGGTTGCTGTGAGCTAGACTTGATGCCACGGCACTCACTCTAGCCTGGACAACAAAGCAAGACTCTGTCTCAAAAAAAAAAAAAAAAGAACTCTCAGCCCAAAGACAAGCCAGATCCACATCCAATTCAGCTTCTCACAATTATGAGAGGTAAGCAACTGAAGACAGGCAAACAAGGAAGATCAAAACACAAGAACAAATGGATCACAAAGAACACATGGCATTTGAGGAAAACAAAGACCATGAAAGGGAGATACCATTCCTAATAGAATACTGTAGAAACATGAGACTTTACCCCAGGTTGTTGTTTCATGGAGCTCCCTGACACTTTTTTGTTTTTGAGACAGGGTCTCAAAACTCTGTTGGCCCAGGCTAGAGTCTAGAGTGCAGTGGTGTGATCCCAGCTCACTACAGCCTCGAAATCCTGGGCTCAAGTGATCCTCCTGCGTTAGCCTCCTGAGTAGCTGAGACTATAGGTGTGCGCTACCATGGCCAGCTAATTTTTTAAACTCTATGTAGAGACAGGGTCTTGCTATAGATTGGACCTATAGTTTCAGGCTCATCTTGAACTCCTTGCCTCAAGCAATCCTCCTGCCTTGGCCTCTCAAACTGCTGGGATTACAGGGGTGAGCCACCAGGCAGGTCCTTGACATAAACAAGTGATTAGACAGATACCTTAGACATGTGAATATTGTCAAAATAAATGAAATAGAAGTGTGCTAACAGTGTGCTGGAAAACTGATCCAGGCTTTGTCCTAGAATGCACTAAAAAAAGGCAAAGAAGCTACTCGTGTAAGAAAAAAATTGATACATGGAAGATCCATCCAGAATTTCAACATACAATAAAAAAGAAATTGTAGAAGGGAACAGAGACTGGGAGGAAACATATAACCAAAGAAATAAAATATATATAATAATACAAAGATAAAGTCTTCATTTTAGAATGGGAAGGATAAATAGAAAACCCTAAAACTACTCAGAAAGAAACCAAACTTGAAAATAGACTGCCTGAGAAAAAGACTGAGAATTGGAGTGGCAGCAGACTTCTCAATTGGATACTAGAACACATTAGAACTTTGAAGATAAAGTTGTAATGGAAACTTAAATGCCAGTTTGAATAGCTAGGTTTAGAATTAAGAGTAAGAGCAAAATAGAGATGGAAAAGCAGGGTACTAAATTTTACCTGTATAGCCACTTTTTGAAAGAATAATCAGAGGACTCCAGCAAAACCAAAAATGAATCTAAAAGGGAGACACAATATACAAAATATAGCGAGGTAAAGGAAACAACAAAACTTAGGGATAATTTTTTTTTTTTTTTTTTTTTGAGACAGTCTCACTCTCTAGCCTGGGCTAGAGTGTTGTGGCGTCAGCCTAGCTCAAGGCAACCTCCACTTTCTGGGCTCAGGCTATCCCTCTTGCCTAGCTTCCCGAGTAGCTGGGACTACAGGCACATACCACCGTGCCTGGCTAATTTTTTCTATTTTCAGTTGTTTGGCTAATTTCTTTCCGTTTATAGTAGAGATGGGGTCTCGCTCTTGCTCAGGTTGGTCCCAAACTCCTAAGCTTAAGCAATTCTCCCGCCTCGGCCTCCATGCTAGGGTTACAGGTGTGAGCCACTGTGCCCAGCCCAGGGATAATTTTTGATGCATAATGTAAAATAAGGGATTCTGGAACAAAAATCTTAGCGATCTGTTTCTATAAGGGAAGTGGTGGTGGTGTATGGAGGGAGAGAGAGAAAGAAAGCAGGCTAACATGCTTAGCTTGTACAGGTTAAACAGAATTAAAAATTCAGTTTCTGGGTCACAGTCATATTTCAGGAGCTCAATAACTAGTGCATACCACATTGGACAGCACTGATACAGAACACTTCCAGCATTACAGAAAGTTCTATTGGACAGCATTATCCAGATGTTGAGAAAAAAATTTTAAAGTGGTCATTACAATTTTAAGGGTAACCAAAAGAAAGACATAAATGTATAATTTTCAAAGAACATTAGAAGGAACAAAATTACATAAGTAATTGACCCAATAAAAAGCTAAAAAGAAAAAAACCCAAAACAACTGTATAACTATAAATAAAAGATTAAGTCTTCAAGAGTATATCTAAACAAATAATCACAATGATGAATGGGTTAAATTCACCTATTAAAAGATAAAAATACTCAGATAACAAGACAAAAAATCTAGACACGAGACATACTTAAAACAAAGGACACAAATAACTAACATATACAGCAGACAAATAATAAAAAGAAACCAATCTAGCTATAGCTTTTAAAACAAAAAAATAGATATATTTTTTGACCTAGTAGTTCCATTCCTAGATATTTGTTTCTAGGAATACTTGCACATGTGCAAAATGATAAATACACAAGGGATCTTGACTGTGACATCATTTTTAACGGCAGAAGACTCTAGAAATTATTTTATCAATGGAAAACCAGTTCAGTTATGGGACTAGTATGCAACTTTTAAAAAGAATGAAGGAGCTCTATATACATTGATATGAGATCATTTCTAACATGTATTAAATAATAAACAGTATAAAATGGTAACATGCCATACCATTTGTGCAGAGAAAGCATATGTCTACATATGTTGTATATATAGAATGTATCATTTCATATGATACATAAGAATGGAACAACATATAAACAGTGTCTGTCTCTGGGAGGGGAACTGGGAAGCTAAGGAATGGCGTTGACAAAAACCTTTTTATTGTATATATTCTTGTAATTGAATTTTATACTATGTGCATGCATTTTCTCCTAGTCAAAAATAAAGTTACAAAAAGCAGGCTTGGAAATATTTAATAGCAGACAAAATAGAATTCAATATGAAAAGCATTTTATGAGACAAAGACAATTTTCAAGGTGATACATGATTCATGATTTTTAGTAGAATATTCTTTTATCTAAAACTCAGGTATGTAATGATAGACTAAAAATATATAAAACAAGTACTCAGAAATATAAGGAGAAATTGACAAATCCACAATTACAGGGAGAGACTTCAATATACTTCTAGAAATTGATAAATCAATAAGACAAAAATAATAGTTAATACTTACTGGGCACTTCTTATGTGAGTGGCACTGAACTATATGCTTTTCATGCATTATCTAAGGCTAGAGAAAATGTTAGTAACTTTGACAAGTCATATACATATACCATAAATAAACAGAATACACAGTTTTTCAAACACCCATTAGACAGTCATTAAAGATCACATATTAGGCACCCACCCCTAAAGAACAACTACCACCCCTCCCCCTCAGTAAACATCGCTGGCGAGAGTACAATGAACATTATCACTGATTTGGCAACAGCTCTTAAGAATAATTTTGTATTATGTATCAAGTGTCCATATTCTTTGTCAAAGTAATTGTGTTTCTGATAATCTATCTTAAAATATTGGGAGGGGAATAAAAATATAAGAAAATATTAGAAAACAAATGTTAAAATGAAAGGAATGGTTAAATTTATAGAAACTATATATTGGGAAAATGCTTGAAATGTCAAACATGAAAAGTACAACATCAAATTACATGTTTTATTTGTATGGCTGTATAAGAAAACCAAATATTTAATGGATATATACTATTATGGTTAACAATATCTATAATTTCTTTCACTTTAGGAAGCTTTTTGCTTTGCATCCTTTTTGCAACTTTCTATTCCATTAGCTATGCAAGAAATACATGTCTGCTGAAGTTATATGTCTTTGTATAACAGCAACCTACACATTCTATAAAAAAGAACAAATAAGCCCAAATTCATCAGAAGTCTTCAGTCCATTACCAAGATGCCACTTTTCTTCCAGGGTTTGGCGGTAACAATATAGCACAAGGTGACTTTATTTAGGCAATTTAAATAATTAACTTAGATATGGACATTTGTCTTGGGATTCCTAAAGTGTTGTCAAATTTGGTCTCTACAGAAATTCTATGATGTAGTGGAATACTAAGCATACTGCAATGACTCCCATACAAGTGAAAGCCTGAATTTGCAATCTCTATCAGTTTTTATATAAATTATCTACAATTTGGCAGTTATTTTAAGGGGCAAAATTGAAGCAAGTGTTTTTGGTAAATAGTTCCTTACAAGATACCAAAAATATTTAAAAACAATTCAGAATTCAATATTTATGTAAATATTCTTTTATAAAATAGGTCCAAAAGACTCAGCCCAGATCAGCTTTGAAGTTATATCAAGAATTAAGTCTACTTCACGCCAATGAGCTGATTCTCAACAGGGGCTGGTTTTGCCATTTGAGGAATGATAGCCACAGTGTCGTGTACACAAGAGAGCTGGACGGCATAGACAAAGTCTTTATAGTGGTTCTGAATTTTGGAGAATCAACACTGCTAAATCTACAGGAAATGATTTCAGATCTTCCCATAAGACTCAGAATAATATTAAGTACCAATTCTACCTCCAATGGCAGTGAAGTTGATACAACTGGCATTTATCTGAACAAGGGAGAGGGACTCATCCTTCAACACAACACAAAGAATCTCCTTCATCACCGAACAGCTTTCAGAGACAGATGCTTTGTTTCCAATCGAGCATGCTATTCCAGTGTATTCGACATACTGTACACCTTGTGTTAGGCACCTCTATGAAAGAGATGATACTGGCATTCTGTTGTATTTTAAGCATTTGCAGTAGTTTCATGTATAGCATGCTGCTGGATAAACTTTATGAACAATCATTAATTCTCAGATATTTCTGTAGCTTGAATGTAACTGCTTTAGGAAAGGTTCTTAAAAGCTTTGAAAAAATAAAGTGTTTAAAAAAATTATCACTTGTAGGAACTTGTAACTACATTGAGATAGCATCAATAACGTGATGAGAACATGTTGGGACCCCAGAGTTTTCAAAAGCTCTAATGAATTTTAATGTGAAGAATGTTATCTTTTTCATTAAAATGCAGGCATAAAAATTGGAGGATGACTCACTGCCAGCGTGTGCAAAAACATTCATTAGCAAAGAGGCGGGACATTGATTTGTAAACTGATCAAAGAAAATCCTAGCGAAACAGACAAAAATAAAGCTGTACTGATTGGATGGGAGGCCTAGAGTTCTGTCACCAATCCCTCCCTTCTTCCATGTCCTTCTAAGGAGCGTGATTTGAAAACTACTTTCCTAGGTTATGGGGCATGTGTACCAATGGAGAGAAGAGAATAAGCAAGTGAGATACAGACTAAGCAAAATTTAGATGGAGAAACACATTTCAAAAAATTATTAAATAACTTAAAAATCTCACTTTTGCTAATTCAATTGGAAATAAGATTATGAAGTATTTCACTGTTTCCAATTCCTAGTTGGATGTAGCATTTCAGAATTTTAGAAATTTCTTAAGATCCTCGAAAACACTGGTGTTGTCAAGTCCAAGTTCCTCATACAGGAATTTAATCTGGGCTGTAATCTAAAAGAAACACATTTTAAAAATCAGAAGACCTCTGTGGTAAAACTCCAGTGTTTAAGCTTCACTTTGTCTACCCACCTTTGCCCAACATTGAAGTCAGCAATTTATGGCAAGAATACTTTTTTGGGGAGAGAGGCAGAAGGCTTTCAATAATTAAGACTCAAAGCTTTCTTTTTTTTTTTTTTTGAGACAGAGTCTCACTCTGTTGCCCAGGCTAGAGTGCCATGGCGTCAGCCTAGCTCACAGCAACCTCAAACTCCTGGGCTCAAGCAATCTTTCTGCCTCAGCCTCCTGAGTAGCTGGGACTACAGGCATGTGCCACCATGCCCGGCTAATTTTTTTCTATAAATATCAGTTGGCCAATTAATTTCATTATTTTTAGTAGAGATGGGGTCTTGCTCTTGCTCAGGCTGGTATCAAACTCCTGGCCTTGAGCAATCCGCCCGCCTCAGCCTCCCAGAGTGCTAGGATTACAGGCGTGAGCCAACTCAAAGCTTTCTTTAACAGGGCTCACTTATCAAGTACAAGAGAGAGCCCTTTCTCTGGATTGATTCAGTGTCCTTCCCTCTCCCTCGTGGGTCTCAGACATAGACCTGACATTTGTGAAGTAGCTTTGTCATAAACCCTGTGGTGGCAACTGAAAACTTGAACATTAAATAAAACACATCTCTATTTGGGGAATCTGTCAACTGTGAGGGGCTTGATAACATACCTTTTTGTGAGAATCCTCAATCACATGATTGCCTCCAGGCTGAATATCTAAAATAATATTGGGGGCCTGATAGCCTGAAAGAATTAACATATAAAAACAATTAGAAGGTCTTTGGAAGATTGAGACTCATTTCTCCCCTCTCCTCCTGAGTACTCTATTCAAATAAAAGTAAATGAACAAAGGCAAAACCCACCAACAATAAAGAGGTGGGATGCGGTAAGCAGTAAAAGACAAATTTCTGAAGCAGTAAAAGCAGGAAGAGACCCAGGGGCTGAGGAAGCTGGATGGAAGAGACCACATGGAGAAGGCTGTGACCTAGGAGATGGTCAACTGGCCCTATGCAATCTGAGAGTCTTGTGCCCTGCAGACACCAACTGCAGCAATGAGTGGGAGTGCAAAATGGAGCTCAATACAGGGAGACTGTCTGACTTATATGTAGGTCCCCCTGCACTTGAACTCACAATGTGTTGGCATGCAGTTTCAAGGCAAAAAGAAGTTCTTATAAAATTAAAACAACTATCTAGAGGAAATTAAAGGAGCTAGTTTGGGCACTGATGCTCCCAAGAAAAAACCTCACAATCTTGTCTTTCAGATTCCCAAGAATAATGGCTCAATCAATATTGTTAAGTGAATGAATAATTGTATGATAGTACATCTACAAATTATATTTGATATTTAAATTTACTTTTTTCTTTGTGCCCTGTATACCTTATTTTAAGATTGTCCTTTGAAAAGTAGGTGAGGCAGTTAATATATACATCAACATAGGAAAACAACTGTTTGTATTAAATTCTGGACAAATGATTTGGTTGTAGCATGAAATGTATAATATTACTCTGAGCTGTGTGCTGAGGGTATTAGTCTGTTTGGCCAAGTTTTCTGCTTCTAGATGATCTCCTACCTTCACCTGTGTCTTCGGCGTGCTTCGTGATGGCTTCCTGGAGTTTCTTGGTGTAGTTCACAATTCCCTTCAGAGGTACACGTTCATCATTTTCATAAGCTGTTATGTGAATTGAAGGATAATGCTAGAAGAAAGTACATGTACAAAGAGTTTACATTATTTCTCATGGTTCCTCTCCACTCTATAGACCATAAAAAACATTTACCTCCAATTTTTTCCTCTAAGTGCTAGGAGTTTTTTCTCACTTGATATTCTTGATAGCACCTGAGTTATATGTACTAGACCACTTGTTTCCTGGAATAGCCTTTTCTTGACTAAAGAGATCTTATCTGATTTAGCAATTAAGGCATGATAACTCTATTCCCCGAGGTATTAAATTGAAACAAATGTGGAACATGACCGGAGATGGTACTTTCAATGTCTGGGTATTACAAGTGGAAACAACTCTAAACCCTACTAATTTCTCCCTCTGCTCAAGTATCTTTTTAATATCTTCTCTATCTTTCTGAGATCATATAACTGTTTTTCACTACCTGAGGCTTAATATTTTGATAGGGACAGTAACGTTTTATGTAGTTCTTGTGTTTTTCATCAGATGAAGGATTCCCCCATTCTTCTAATTCTTCTAATGTCAGAGGAAGTGTAGTATCCATCATGGTATTGAGAACATCCAAGAAAGGTGCCTTAAAAAAAAAAGCCAAAGAAACTTAGACTTTAAATGAAAGGTTGATAAAGAGTTTCAGAAAAAGATTACACTTTATGAATATACATACTGATACGAGAGGAAACAGCTCAAGAAGCCATGTAGATTCCTAGGAGCCAGACAACTCAGTCCTGAACCAGGGTCTCTAATCTATAACATGCTTTAAAAGTATTCACACTGCTTAAATGACATTTGTATAATAAGAAATAGTTTACATTCTAATTTTATAATTTTTATTTTTAGTTTCGTGCCTTTTATTCATATATATATTTTTAATATGAAGTAATAAATGCTACTGGCTCTCACCCATTAGGATGGTTACTGTTAAAAAAAACAAAAAACAGAAAATAACAAGTGTTGACAATGATGTGGAGAAACTGGAACCCTTATGAACTGTTGGTTGGAGTAAAAAATGGTGCAGCTGCTATGGAAAACAGCATGGTCATTCCCCCCAAAAATGAAGCTTAGAATTAGCATATGATCTAGCAATTCCACTCCTAGGTATATATCCCCCCAAATTGAAAGCAGGGTATCGATAGGTATAGATATCTCTTGAAGAGATATCTATATACCTATGTTCACAGCAGAATTATTCACAATAGCCAAAAGGTGAAAGCAACCCAAGTTCCATCAATGGATGACTAAATATGCAAAATGTGATATATATATATATATATAACGGAATATTATTCAGCTTTAAAAAAGGGAAGAAATTCTACTACATGCTGCAATATGGATGAACCTCAAGGATATAACCTAAGTGAAATAAGCTAGCCACAAAAATAAATTACTTTGTATGCTTCCACTTATATGAGATACCTTGAGTAGTCAAATTCATAGAGGCAGAAAGGAGAAAAGAGTGTTTTCCAGGGGCTGGGTTGGGGGAAGAAGGGATTGGAGAGCTCTTTAATGGCTGCAGACTTTTAGTTTTATAAGATGAAAATCAAGTTCTGGAGATGCGATTGCATAACTATGTGAGTGTACTTTAATGCTACTGAACTGTTCACTTAAAAATTGTTAAGATGGTCAGTTTTATGTTGTTTTAACATTTATGTTATTTTAACACAATTAAAATTTTTTTAAAATGAAAAAAGCCCCAACAACACAGAAAGTCTTTTTCACCAGCTGGACATTTTACATTAAAAGTAATAAATGCTAATTGAAGAAAATCTGGAAAATATCCAAAGTGAAAGAAAAGAAAACCACTCATTGGCTCATGACTAGGGTTAAAACATTTAAGAAAACGGAGGCTGCATTTTTCACTTAGCTTTATATTCTCAACATGCTTTTCAGATTTCCCTTATATTAACATTAACCAAGTATAGTGAGCATTTGCAATTCTTTATGGCTGCCTAGCGTCTGGACTCCTTTTCTGCATTTGAACATCCCCAACGTTATCAGACAGAGCTTGTCTCTCACTGTAGAGATCCTAAATGACAGACAGCACCTATCCCAGCTTTCCCTGCAGCCAGGGAGTAGCCAGCCACCTGTGTGACTTAGGTCTATCAATCAGACACATGTGCTCCAAACTTTGCACGGGAAGTCAATGATTCAAAATAGTAGTGATCATGGAGACTTTATTCTGGTAAAAGTGCCACAGCTCTATCTAGTTTTTAGAAGCAGCACTGTCAGTGTGTGAAGTGACTTGTGCTCAGCAGTGGCAATAGTAATAGCTTCACTGGGCCAATTCTACGTTTCTGGTTGTGCAGCCTTTAACACTGGTTCTAAACATACCCACCTTTCCCTAATACCCTTTAATAAATCCCTTTTCTGTTTAGTTGGTTTTTGTTGCTTGTAATTAACTTTGACTTATACATGAATCTCCCATTGTTGGATATTTAGGTTGTCTTTAATTTTTTACTCTAATAAGCAATCTTGGATAAATATCTTACACAAACATTTCTGATTATTTCCTTTCTAGTTTATAAAAATCAAGACTTACTTGTTTTTTCCTTATATTGTAAAAAATCCTGCCTGTATTATCTTTGTACATAGGTTTTTTTTCCCCTCCATACTCAGTATTTCTTTTTTTAAAAAAATAGATTTACAGATTAGGGCTATTTAAAACTTCTTTACTTAATACAAAGCCCATAGTGTATAGCCCTCACCCTCAAAATAAAAAACAAAAAACCCCTGAGAATGATTTACTCTCTTCCATCTCAGCCATCATTTTCCAGAGTGTCTAACCAGGTAGCTGGAGAATGACAGAGGTAAAACCAACTTCTATAATATAACTTCATAATCTGGGACACCAGGAAAAGATGAGTATTTTCAGAACAAGATATTTCAACTAAAGTACAGAAGAATTATGCACAATTATGTACACAATTATGTACAAAAGACCATTAATAATAGGGTATCTTGGCTGGGCATGGTGGCTCATGCCTGTAATCCCAGTGCTTTGGTGAGGCTTAGGCAGGAGGATTGCTTGAGGCCAGGAGTTTGAGGTTACAGTGAGCTATGGTCAGACCACAGCACTCCAGGCTGGGCAACAGTGTAAGACCCTGTCTCAAAAAAGAAAAAAAAAGAGAGATCTAAAAATAGAGAGCCCCTATATTCAGGACTGAAATGTTGATGGGAAGTAGACTGTCAAATTGCTTAAGGAGTCAGAAGATTCAGTGCATTCCAGAGTCATAATATGTTCTAGCTGACCTCATAGAACTGTGAGACATATAGGCTTCTACTCTTTTCTACCAATTCTAAATATTATTACAAATAAAAAATGACTAATGGGAACAGTCATTTTTTTTTTTCAGTGGAAATCCTTAAAAATTAATAAAAAGTACACTGCCAGAGAAGAATAAGAGTAAATAGTTGGATTAAAATAACTTTAGATATTCTCCTAGAGCTACAATTCTGTGTTTAAAACTTAAAAGCTTTATCACAGTCCTATGCTATGGTAAAACTATAACAAAAAAAAAATTTTTAAAGCTGCCTATGCCTTCCCACCTCTCCCCCATTGTGTATACAGTAAAGACAAGAGTGTACTCACCTCCAAAGTCACTGCCCTCAGGAGCGCTGGATTAGAATTACACAATGCTCCCACAAGCACCCCTCCAGCACTGAAAGCAGTCAGGGCTGTTAGACTTGGCTGAGAAAAGCCTTGGCTGTGAAGCGTCTTAATGCAAGCCTCTAAGTCTGCAAGGCCATTGAGTTTTTTTGTTAGACGGCCATCGGCGTGCCACTGGAGGCCTAACTCACCACCACCCCTGAAATTAAAGGGCAAAAAAGTTTTAGTGGAAAAATGTTAATGATGTGGTCTGGAGTCAGCAAACTATACCTGGAGGTCTGTTTTTGTATGGCCCTAGAGCTAAGAATGGTTTTTACTTTTTAAAGCAGGCATCCTCAAACTACAGCCCTCGGGCCACATGCCACCCGCCTAGGACATTTATCCTGCCCGCTGGGTGTTTTTGCTGCCACTATCTGTCCTGCTTAGCAGCCGACTTTTTCCCTGGCCCACAGTGCGTGCTCTCCAACGGTCTGAGGGACAGTAAACTGGCCCCATTTAAAAAGTTTGAGGACCCCTGTTTTAAAGGTTGGAAGAAAACAACAAGGATTATGCAACAGAGACTGTATGTGGCCTGCAAAGCCTAAAGTGTTTACTATCTAGTTCTTTAGAGGAAAAGTCTGCCAACCCCTGATACAGACAATCAAAAATTGATTCAACAAATGTTTTGAGTGCCTGCCTACTATTTATCAGGGATTGTTTTAAATGTAGACCTTAAGAATATAAACAATAAAAAAAATCCCCTCCCCTGGAAATCTTAATTTTGTGGGGAAAGACAACAAAGAGTTACTAAGCAATGTGGTGCCTGCTATAATACAGGGTATTTAAGGTGTTACAGCAGCAGAGGCAAGAATATCCATCTGTCAGGTTAGAGGTACATACAGAGTCAGGAACACAAATGCTGAGGGAGGTGATGCCTAGCAGAGATGTGAAGAAAAGACCTGACTCTCCAGGAGGGCAAAGAAAGGAAGGCATCAAGACAAGGATACAACACAGCAGGTGCAAGGGAATGGTGGTAACAGAGCATGTTATTGGAAAGGACATGCTGATAAATGCTACTGCAGAGATAAGCCGGATTATTAGGAGTACTATACTGAGGAATTTGGAGTTTGTTCTGGAGATGGGGAGGTAGAGAAGGATTTTAAGCAGAAACATAAAATTTGTGTCTTGAAAACAGCTAAGATAAAAATGGAAATTTTTTGCGGGAAGGGTTAGGAGAAGGGATGAAAATCTTAAAATTTTTAGTTATTTATTAATTTTTTTAGAGATGGAATCTTGCTGTGTTGCCCAGGCTGGTCTTGAACTCCTAGGCTCAAGTGATCCTCCTGCCTCAGCATCCTGAGTAACTGGGATTACAGGCGCACACCACCATGTGTAGCTTTAAAATGTAAGTTAGACAGAAAAAAGTTTAGCTTGAGAAGCTGCTTAAAGCTGAATTTAAAAGAATTAAATGGAAATAATAATGTTACTAAATATATACAGAGGATTGGTACATCTATTCAGAAATCCTAAAAATCTACTTTTGCTTTTTGGATCAACAAATCTGTTACAGAATCAAGCTCTGCCACCACAGGTTTAGGAATACATAAATCCAACAATGCAAGTGAGAAAATGGGCTTTTGCTGCCTGATGTATTGTGATTCTAAACATCTGTCACAATGCTCTAGCACTCATATGTTAGGTAAAATGTACTGACTCACCGAACATGGCAATAAGCTAATATCCATCCATCGTCCACTAACACCCGCCTCTCAGGTTTGAAATTCATTTTCAAATCCATCCCATAAGCTCCATATACATGTACCAAGAGAGGTTTCTTCTGCAAGTCCTCAGAGTCTGTTTTGTGGAAAACAGTCATTGGTACTAATTTTCCATCCTGGAAATGAAGAATTACTATGCATGTAAAGAAGAGTCTTTTAAAACAGTTTTATCCTCAATTTAAAATACACTGAAGATTACTGCCCCCCACCCTTATGTGCTACCTATTGACGTTGAGCACAAATGCGTTTAAGATAAAAGCATTACAGTCTCCAAAAATACATTACAGTCTTGGTTTCAGCTACTTTGCTACAGCTCTGGTTATAGTATTAACTAGGAAAAAGCAGCAAGGCTGACTGCTCTTTTATTAAATGTAGCTTTTCATGATAGAAATGGAATTATAAAGAGTTCTTTACTACCCACTGTTATTGTAATTTTTAAAATTTTAGGTCAAGCCAAAATACCCATTAAGGTTAGAAATCCTAGTTTAGAATTCTTCCTATGCCTAGGGCCACATACTGCCATTTCTTATTTTTCAATATTTACAAATACGCTCACTAAAGAAGTCTTGCCAGCTCAATTTTGTCTCCTATAGTCACAATTCTCAAGTATTAGGACCTGAAATGTCTTACTGACCTTACTGATATCTACCCATCTCCTACAAAGGCCTATTTAACTTTTTAAAAAATATTTTAAATTACTATGGGTACATAATAGTTGTATATATTTATAGGGTACATGTGATATTTTGATACAGACATACAATGTGTATTAATCAAATCAAGGCAATTGAGGCATCCATTCATTACCTCAAGCATTTATCATTTTTATGTGTTAGAAACTTTCCAATTCTACTCTTTCAGTTAAAGTATACCATAACTTTCTGTTAACTATAGTCACTTTGTTGTACTATCAAATATTCTTCATTCTAACTATATTTTTGCACCTATTAATCATCCCACTTTACCCCCATCTCCCTGCTACCCTTCCCAGCTCTAGTAACCATCATTCTACTCTCTGTCTCCATGAGATCAACTGTTTTAATATTTAGCTCCCATATATGAGTGAGAACACGCAAGATTTGTCTTTCTGTGCTTGGCTTATTTCACTTAACGTAATATTCTCCAGTTCCATCCATGTGTTGCAAATGGTAGGATTTTATTATTTTTTTATGACTATATGATATTCCACTGTGTGTATGTACCACAATTTCTTTATCCATTCACCCACTGATGGACATTTAGGTTGATTCCAAATCTTGGCTATTCTGATAATGCTGCAATATCTTTTCCATATACTGATTTCCTTTCTTTTCTATGTATACATAGAGGCCTATTTAACTTTATTTAAAAAAATTTTTAAAGTGAGTTAAGTAAGTTTTTAAAATTTTAACACTTAAGTTACTTTTAGCTCATGTAACTATTCCCCAAGTGTAGCTCAAACTCATCAATCCCAGTTGATTCAAACTAGGCACTGCTTGGACAGACAAAACTCAGACAACCTAAAGTACTTCTGATTTTCCTTTCATAGAAAAAGGGTGATGAAGTTGGTTCTCATCCTGCTTTAAGAAATTAATGAAATAGCCCTAGTTTACATAAGGAAATAATATAATCAAGCAACTCTCCATACATTTTACATCCTCATTTTGAAGACTTCTTTTTGGGCAATAAATAGAGACATCATAGTGTTACCAAATAAGGAAGAAACCTTTCTCTCATAATTCTTTATCATACCCAACTTGTTAAGACAGCATAAGTGAATTTTCACTTCTCAGTAAGATTCATTCTTATAAAACCTGATGAAGATTAATTTCTATAAACAATGTTGGTCTTCTCCCTCCTACACCCTGCTTCTTCCTCAACTTCAATTATACAATCAGAAAAACTTGCCTGTTGAAAACTTGTGAAAGGAAGAGGTAAAGATGGTGGCTAGTCCTGTGATGGGCTGGATCTGAATGAACCAACAGGGCAAAAATGCCTGTGGAAATGTACCCAGCTTCCATTTAGCAGCTGTTTCTCTTCTCCCTGTGAAGAATCCCTTGGCTCTCTAAGAACTTAGCTTAACCGTTCTTTCCATTTGGGGTCCAATAATTACAACATTTTGGTAGACTGCTATAATCCTATGTTTGTAAAACTAAATAATACCTAAAAGTATATATTTTGTTCACAAAAAAAATCTAGAAGGTAAAAATAATATTACTTAAGATATTAAAAGAATATCAATGAATTAAAGAAAAAATTCATACAAATAAAAGGCGTGCATTGCAATTTATTCTTTGCAGTGTGAAATTACCTAATGTATGATATGCTAAGTAAGGTCTGAAAATTTCTTAAATTCAAGGCTACAGTTTATGTATTAATTTGTTCCCTATTTGCACAGATTTGTAAATGCTGTATATTGAGTATACCTGGAATAGGAATATCTCTTATCTCCTTTTCTATGTCTCCTCTCTCTCTACTCCTCCCCCTGCCAATCTTCCCTCTTTTACTCCATTTTAGCCATTCTGGCCTCCTCTATACTTCTTGAATTATATCATTTCTTCCTAATTCAGGGCCTCTACACAAAATCAAATCCCCTGTTTCCTTTCCAGCTTACTCTTAATCACCCTACAGGTCTTATCAGAGACATCACTTCTTCAAAGAAACCTTCCCTGATATCTTCAGACTAGGTATGGTCCTTTTGCCATATGCTTCTGTTGTGCTCAGTATGTCTTCCTTTGCAGCAACCAGTGTATCAGTAATTACTTCTTCAATGTCTGCCATTTTTCCCTGCTAGATAAGCCTCATGAGGGCAGGGACTGTATTAGTCTAGTTCACTCTAGTCAACTGCTTACCACCTTCACAATTTTTGCCGTATGAACTCTATTCACTCGATGTTTTCTTTAAATCGACTTTTTAAACTCAGACATAAATAATACGTGAAATAAAGGGCTTGATGGGCTAGTTATAGATTTTCTAATCCATGTTAAAATGAATACCTAAGTATTTAAAGTTAAAACAATCCATGTATTCCCTACAATCTCTTGGGTTTTATTGTGGTATAAGGGAAGCCTTGGTAAACTATGCTAATGTAACCCCAACAACTGTGCAGTATCTGACAAACAGTATGTTTTCAGCAAACTGGAGCTGAAAGTGGAGATTACAAAGACCTACCTTGCTTTTGGCTTCTATACGCAAAACACGACTAGTCTTTGTGATCGGGTCTTCGTGCCCAGTTTCCTCGAACAGTTTGTTTTCTGCAAACTTATATGTGTAATATTTTGGGGGACGTATTGGAGAACAAAGCTGAAAGGGGCAGTTCTTTGGGTCATAATTTGAATCCATTATGAATCCACAGGCCCAAGGAGGGAGCTAAAGAAATAAAACAGTTATTTTTACTCTTTAGATACTAAGTATTATATTATTAATTAAATTTCTGAGTCCACTCCAAACAAGATGATGTGGACATCTAGTTTACTTTCCATGTATTACCACATTATGCCTCATTTAAGGATTACTTTATCACAACAAAATATATTTCAAGTAAAAAATTAATAAAACTCTACATTAATGACCAATAAAATAAAAAATTATAGGAAAATGATTTAGCATGATTCTAGATTTATAAGAAATAGCCTTTAATATAAAAGTTTATTTTGGGGTACAAGCTTGGGCAATAAAATAGCAAAATGGCTAAGAATAAGAGCAAATCCAATAGTAATTCTGGAACACAGCGACATCTCCAAGATCTCCATTCTCACAGAACATGAAATCTCTCACATGCGTGTGTTTTTAATAATTTATCCACCAGTCCTTACCCTGCTGCCTGGACAGCTGCAGTGATGACAGTTATTATTCCGGAGCTACAAACGGGCTCAGCAGCACTAAAGCATTTACAATCTGTTTCTAACTTTAGCTTCCAGGCTAACCATTGTGCAGAACAAAACCTTTCCTGGCACATCTACTCTGAGAGACTCATGGCTATTATGCTTAAGATTCTTAACTTTAAGAAAAAAGGAAAGGAATCAAAATTTATTCTCTTAGAGCAGCGGGGTCCAGCTTCAAGCCTTCCACTAACATCTCTCTACACCTTTTAAAGAACTCCGGTAAGCAGGTTGACAGAGTGTTAGAAATGGTACTGAGAGTCAGAACATTAAAAGAAAATTGCCTTTCTTTTCCTGAGTAATTGTAGAAAGAGCAAATTCCTTAGAAAATCAGAGGCACAGCAACATGACTGGTGGGCACTGCTGAAAAAGGGTAGATGGGGGAAGTGTGCATAAAGAGTGCACTACTTCACCTGCAGAAATGACAGCCAAAGAGTTTATGTTCTCTGAGCAAATTTCTTCTAATTAACCCAAAGAATATATTTTCTTGAAACACTAATAAAGGCACACATTTGCAGTGTCTAAGAGTTCCTAATTTATTCTCCTCAGACTGAGTACTACTTTAAAGGATAATCTGTCTATTTAAATGTAAGACATAACTAGAGAAAAAAAGTATAAACATGTAAATTGATAAATCTGGTAGCATAACTGCAAGTGAGCAAACTAAGACCTGAGAGGTTGAAGAATTGCTACAAACCTCATAAGCAGGCCTCAGAGTGAAGGTACAAATTACCTGAACCCACAGGCACACGTTTTTTCTGCTCTTTGGTGAGACACAGGACAGTTTCCATGTGACCCATGTAGTAAGCTGTCTTAGCTTTAGAACAAGGGGTTCCAATAAATCAAAAAGTCTTTTGGGTGTTTTTCCAAAATGAAGAGGACCAAGGTTAAAATTTTATCATAACAAAAACCATTTCAAGGCTCTGGACTTTTTAAAGTTTGTCCGTTTGATGCATAAATAGGTATTAACTATCGTAAGAGTATCTTAAGCCCTATTCCCTATTGAGATAAACCTGCAGTGTATCTGTGTATACTAATGAACAGCACTCGAATGTAAGTTCACCAGGTGATGCAGACATCCCTTAAATACTGACAGAAATAGATTCAGCTTTAACATTACCAGCAAACTATAGTCATTTCATTGAAAGAATGATTAAGACATATATGCTAAAAGAAAATGGGCCTGGGGATGCAGACTCCTCCTCTAAATGAAATTAATGTTAGCACAGAGCAAAAATGTCCCATTTGCTTCAATTAAATATCATAACTTCTTTTTTTGGGTGGAAAAAAAGCTACCAGAAAATATTATAGTGATGATATGATCACCAAGGATAGGAAGCAAATATATGAAAGGTTTTACATTTCTACTGCTGAGATTGAGTTCAAAAAGATATTTTAGTTGAGTGCCTACTAGGCAGAGATGTTACATACAGAAATACTTTATAATGCACTCATGGTTTGGTTAAAGATTTTTGTGCTTTGTATATGGCACTGTCTATGGATGTTAATCAATGTTATCCAGGTTCATGAAAAAGGTCTGATCTATACAATTCTCTTTAAGTAGCACCTGGAATATAATATAGTATTGATTCCATTTGATGATGACCTAGAACATTATAAAAGGCATAATAGGATAGTTTTGGGAAGAATTTGGGAAGAGTCAGGAATGAAATGACATAGCTGCAGTCCCCAACCCTGGGATTGCAGACTAGTACCAGTACATGGCCTGTTAGGGACCAGGCTGCAGAGCCTCCCTTCACCCGCCCATGAAACTTAGGAATGGGGGTGAAGGAGTGCACAGCAGGAGGTGAGCTCTGGGTGAGGGAGTAAAGCTTCATCTATACAGCTGCTCCCCAATGCTCACAGCACTGCCTGAGCTTCACCCTGCCACCCCCTCCCCTCTGCCTGTCTATAGAAAAATTGTTTTCCATGAAACAGGTCCCTGTTTGGGGGTGCCAAAAAGGTTGGGGGCCACTGAGATAGAGGGTATAGAATAAAGACATGATATTTGTGCTAATGGAAGTTAAAACCATGGAAACCAAGGCATATTTTTAAAATAGGAATACTTACTAAAAATGTAAAAGGTCCTGTTTACTTTGAAGTCATATTATAGCAGAATAAACTTTATATGACATTCCTAATTTTCTTGACATAGAATTTTGTTGTAATAAATGCATTGCTAGAAATTACATATTCTTTCTCATCCCTATTCATATAGATTATAGCTAGGTGTCCTCAAACTAGGGCCTGTGGGCCACATGTGGGTGTTTTTGCCCGTTTGTTTTTTTACTTCAAAATAAGATGTGCAGTGTGCATAGGAATTTGTTCATAGTTTTTTTTTTTTTTTTTTTTTTTTTTTTTTAAGACAGAGTCTCACTTTGTTGTCAGGCTAGAGTGAGTGCCATGGCGTCAGCCTAGCTCACAGCAACCTCAAACTCCTGGCTCAGCGATCCTCCTGCCTCAGCCTCCGAGTAGCTGGACTACAGGCATGCGCCACCATGCCGGCTAATTTTTATATATATATCAGTTGGCCAATTAATTTCTTTCTATTTATAGTAGAGATGGGTCTCGCTCTTGCTCAGGCTGGTTTTGAACTGCTGACCTTGAGCAATCCGCCCGCCTCGCCTCCCAAGAGCTAGGATTACAGGCGTGAGCCACAGCGCCCGGCCTCTTTTTTTTTTTGAGACAGAGTCTTGCTTTGTTGCCCAGGCTAGAGTAAGTGCTGTGGCATCAGCCTAGCTCACAGCAACCTCAAACTCCTGGGCTCAAGCAATCCTTCTACCTCAGCCTCCCGAGTAGCTGGGACTACAGGCATGTGGCACCACGCCGCTAATTTTTCTATATATATTAGTTGGCAATTAACTTTCTTCTATTTATAGTAGAGATGGGGTCTCGCTCTTGCTCAGGCTGGTTTTGAACTCCTGATCTCGAGCAATCCCCCGCCTCAGCCTCCCAGAGTGCTAGGATTACAGGCGTGAGCCACTGCGCCTGGCCTTGTTCATAGTTTTTTCTAAACTATAGTCTGGCCCTCCAATGGTCTGAGGGACAGTGAACTGGCCCCTGTTTAAAAGTTTGAGGATCCCTGGTTACACTAATGATAGATCCTCTGCCAGTGTTCCATTAAAGATGTCTGACTTTGGGATCAATTAGCAAGTGAAAAGAAAAACTCTGATTCCATCAGATGAAGACAGTAAGAAAATCCCCAAGTCGATCACCATTTTTGTTTTAGGGTATTCTAAGAAACTGGACTTATGTTCGATAATTTGATTTTAGGGATTAGCTGGAGAATTTCAGTTATTTTAGGCTTTATTTCTTATTTAAACCAGTATAACAATCTCAAAAGTAGTCTCCATGCCCCTTATCTTTTTGCTTCAGTCTACCCTAATACAGCTGCTGGATAATCATATCAAGTATAGCTCCACTCCCAAACCACTGCCCTGCTCACAGACTTCAAATGTTTCCCCTTCATAATTTATGCATATATTCCTCATACCGACAGTCAAAACCCATCAAATCATATCTTTATCCCCCAGAAATGTATTTTGCTTCAATAAAATGGAATTATTAGCAGTTTCCTGAACACTTTCTAACTTCTCCAGCACAGAGCTTCGTTTGATGGCTTTCTTATCCTGGAATGCCATATCCCTCCCACCCTGTCAAAATCCTATCTACCTTTATTGGTTTGTTTCAAAGTCAACCAACTTGACCAAAAGCTTTCCTGAGCCTTCTTTCTCTCTTTCGAGCCCCATACATATTTTATGTTTTTGATACCACTTATTTAAATCCACATTATACTTAATCTTTGTGTACTTGTCTAATCTTATGATAAACTGTATCCTCTTTAAGGCTAGATATTTGTCCTATTATCTTTCCACTCTATAATGCCAATACAGTATTTTGCACATAGAAGTTCAAAAACAGTCACTAAGTTGACAGGAATTACATCTTAACAGGAACTTTGAAATATTGGAGTTAGACAGGTATAAGTGGTCTAAATTGCTTGCTGGTCAACTGGCTCAATAACTCTTCATATCAAGCACTATGGAGCCATTCCTCTTCCCTTCATGCTTGCTACCTTAACTCACATGTGAATGCTGCTTTAATACTGGACCAAAAAGGTTGCCATTCACCAATTTTAGCAAGTTCACTTGTGGAGACAGATTATTTGTTGTGGCACCCACAGGCAGTATCAACTAGTTAGCCTGCCAGGCAGACTTGCCACCATCACACTTCTGTGCTGCTGTGGAGATCACTGCCACCCCTACATTGAAAGAAACCAAAGCTGAGTCCCTCCCATCCCCCATGGGTAAGAAAACTGGCAAAGAGAAGATGGTGTAGCCACAAGTGTGCAGTGGCCAAAACACAACGGCTATGATTACTATCCCTAGTGGGGATGTGGGATGGGGAAGCTTAGCAGTAGGTGGTTAGGCTCTAGTTGCCAAGTTGGCCTGACTTACTACTATACCTAAAATTGTAGAGATATGTAAAAAGAGAAATACAATGGAACTTTACTTCTGAAGTCCATGCTGTAAGAGTATTTTAAGTAAAACTGCATTAAAAGCAAGGTCCTCCAAGTGACTCTAAAATATACTTCCTAAACCTGATAAAGCATGAGCAAGTATGCTAAATTCCCTTTAAGAAAAAGTAAATTAAATTCCCTTTAAGAAAAAGAACACTGCTATTATTCAAAATTGAATGTTCTGTTAAGCAAAACTGCATATATATTTTAATTAACAGTATTATCTTTTGAAAATTAAACATACCTTTAGAGACCGAACTGAATCATCTGCCAGACCAATCACATTAACATAAAGAAGATTGCTATGCTTCAGGAATAGAACACAGTGATCCTTAAACATGTCCATGTCTATAACTTTGGTATTTCTCTTCATTGTGAAAAACAAATCCCAATTCATAATTGCTGGGGTATCAGCTGCTGTTCTCATTAGCTGTACAGAACAAAGTTAGAAGAGATCTAGGTAACAAAACATGAAGGCTATAGCATCCAGAGATGAAATCACTGAAAACTAGATTATACTAGTCTTCACTATTTCATGAAGAGCTGAAGGAACTAACTGCATCAGGGATGAAGTGTGACTATCACCATATGAATGAGCCCAGGCTAGCTTGCTGGATAAGACATTATGACCCAGTGCTTAGCTGACTAGACATTCAAGTGAGGGCAATGGCAGTGAGCTGACTATGGATAAATGAGTGAGCCTAACTGACATCAGCCGAACTGCCTAGCTGAGATCAATCTAAATTGCCAACTCACAAAAACCACAAGTTTATAAAACTGTTCTTTTAAGCCACTAAGTTTGGCTTAGTGATATATATAATCAGGATAGAATATGTTTTATTTACTAACCTCTTAGACACAATTAAAATACACAGAGGCATTAGTTCTAAGAGAAGAGAAATGGGATTGGTATGCATAGGAAGCTAGGATCAATTTCTACACTTTAATAAAAGCCTACAAAACAATGAACGCTTAGAGCAAGAAATGCTGTTGATGGAAGTGTGACACGTCTTAGCCCAAATGGGGACAAGGAGAATTCAGGATTACCTTGAATTCTGTCGGCTCTCCAACATTAGTGAGAATGTATAATTCATCATCTCTGTGTTCAACATAGTAAAGGACTCCACGTATTCGCTTCTGGATAAGTACTGGTGGGTCCCAAGGGCTCAGGCCGTCTACCAACCACACTTCAGAAGTGGTCTTGTTCATAATATTCATGGTGAGGAAACGACTGTCTTTTGTAAGATAAAGGAAAATAAAGTAGCTAGACAGAGAGAGAGAGAGAGAAACGTGAGATCCCAGTAAATTTCAGTTGCATGCTACCTTGTTAATGACATTATCTCAGAGGTAGTCAGTAAACATGTTAATTTTTTTCCTTTTTTTTTTGTTGTATAGCTCAGCAAGCTGAGAAAGTAAACATGTTAATTTATAATGCAGAAAGAAAATAAAAATAATTCCTTACTGAATATTTTTTGTAAATTTAACTGGCTATTATTTTCCTTATTTCCACCATAGAGACAAAATCATTTATTTCTAACATTTTATCATAAATGTTTCTCAAACATACAGAAAAGTTGAAAGAACTGTAAAGCAAACACCCACATACCCACAATCTAGATTCTATCATTGCTAACATTTTGCTTAGTTCTTTTACCACATATCTATGCATTCATTAATTTATCTTTATGTGGACACCACAGACATCATCTCTCACTTTACCACATTAATACATAATGTGGGTTTTTGCTGAGAGAAGAAATAAACTTTCCAGAGGAGATATGAAATAATAGGGAAGAAAAGGGACACAAAGCTTATTCTTGTTTTGTTCTCAGTATATGTATTGGATTTTTACCCCCTTCCCAGTTTTACAACCAAATAGAACAATCTGAGGAAAAACCTCACAATATCACTAACTTAACACATTTAAAGGATGAACTATTTTACTTTTTCTACCTTTCCCTCTGATGTTTATTTAGATTTCACGCATGTCTTCAAAACAAAGTAATTATAATACAGATACAATTTTTGATTCTGCATTTCTTATTTCACATAATAGCAATATTCCCCCATATTAGTTAAAAGTCTTTATGATTATTATTTTTAATGGCCAACTAATATTATATCAGGTTGAATTATCATAATTCTTAAAAATTCAGATTTTAATGTTTCATATAATAAAGAATATAACCTTCCTGGATTTTTATAATTATTTCCTTAGGACAAATTCTTAGGAATGCAAATAGTAATTTAATGATTAAGAGTATTTTTATGACTTGATAAACATAACCAAATAATGTGCTAAAGAGCATGGTACTACTTCATACTGACATACTGGATGGCTTTAAATGTTATATTTACATTTTTCCTTATTATAAAAGTAATCTATACTGAAGATACTGAAAACTGTCAAGAAGCACGATAACCCCGAATCCCTTTGCCCAGAGATAAGCACAGCTTATATTTTGGTAAAATTTCTTCTGTATTGGATCACATTACCATGTTTATTTGCCAACTGTTTTTTTTTTTTTTTTTTCCTTGGACAAATTCACCTGCAGTTCTGCCAACAGTGAATTGGAGTTGGTGGAATCATGAAGAAGAGTTGAGAGGCAGCTACAATCTTCCAACTATGAGGTGAGGTGGGCATGGATAAGGGTTCTGTGAGGGTCGTTTGTCATTCTTTAA